GGTCAGGTCTCACAACCATAAAGGAGGACGGAGCGGACTGATGAGCAGTACACCCGCCCTTTGGTCGATAGTCGAATATCTCGTCTACGCCAGAGTCGGTGTAAAAGATGCTTATGAGTTTCTATCTATTGATCTTAATGATACGATATCAGTTGAAAAGCATTAATGTTCTTAATAACAATGTTATATTAATTGTTTGGAGGATTTTATCATGAGCTAACATCAGTCGGATAACCATTGGAAAACCAGTTGAGAGTAATAGACAGCTGTTTCGCCCTAGTTTGGGACTCTACAGCAGTACGCATCCACCAAGGTTCAAACCCAGGACCTTAATAAGTTTCACAATCTTATAGAAATTCTCTGCGTAAACGGTTCTGATTTATTTTATTCAGAAGTAACTGTATAGTAATTAACGGAGATTGAACCAATCAGAAATCTGAAATTCACTTTCAATTCAGAACATTAAAACTTTGATTACCTTGTAAAGTGTTTTGCATTAAATGCTCAAAATGTGTACGATTTAGAGAAATTTCTAAGATGAGGATAAAAGAGATGTTGCGAAATGTTTTCGTGTATAATATAGAGAACGATACAACAGATTTTTTAACTTTGAAAAAAAAGAAAGCTGAAACATCCACACATAACAACACATCAGATATGACTACAGCATTTCTGTAGGCATGTGATTTAAAATCACATAAGACCAACTGCCTGAGGTAATTCAAACCATAATCGACCGCCTCTCCATCCTACTGATTCAAGTGTATTGAAAAGAAAGTACAGCAAGTTTGTTTAGCTGCAAACTTATATGCTCTCAATGTCCCGAAATAAGATTAACAGGCAATTCTTTCAATCAGCCTACACATGAAGAAAATTAAATGTGAAAAGTCTCATCAAGTGAAAATCCTCCTCAGAAGATATCGAAGTATATGCAATTGATTATTACAGTTGCTTTTTTTTTTCCAAATCAATTTCATCTTTAAGCTATGTTCAAATAGGAAGCCAAAAATATACTTGGAATCTGATCCTGTATGATAGGAAGAGGCTAAAACCAGCTCAAACGGACTTAGATAGAATTAAACCAGAATGAACCAATTAAACCATTGGGCTGAGGCAGGATATTTATTGAACAATGAGATTGGATAACCTTGAAGCCCGGCCTTGTGTAACTAATATAATTGGTTATTTGTTGGTTTAACTTTCTGTGATGCGTAATATTTGTATATGATGTACTATTTTTTGTGATAAAATTGAATCATTCTCGCTGGTACGGATCAATCTGTCTTATCTTCATTTTCGTGAGCTAAAGGGATTGGATTGATGAGTAATCAATAAGTGGTCTTCAGTAAAGTTTCCGATTACCATTCCGTATCAAATACGCTGACGTAACACTTTATGTGCTCCAACAGCATAGAAATATTCTGGATATCTGAAACCGTCTGCTTAACATATTCAGATACTACGGTTATAGGTGACTGACTGGTTTGGTAGAGTCACTGAATAACTAGGGTGCTGGATAATGAACTTTAATTTATCGAAGAATGTAGATGTACGGGCTAGGACAAGGAAGCTGTAGGCTCTTTGTTTTCACTGTCTAGTGTTGAATCCTGGTGGAGTCTATTTTTTAAGCGTTTTTTGCATGTAATTATTATTACTATTATTATTATTATAACATAAACTTAGTACAATGAGAGACAAGAGATGCGTCACAGGACGTCTCATGATTTTCGCGAGGGCTGAGGTACTACCCAGAACTCCACACTGAAGCAGGTGGTTGTCTTAAGTACCCTCTACCCTAGTCTTTGACTTGGAGTCCGATCCACAAGGCAGTGAAGCAATGTCATGGGCTGTGGATCCAGTGTCCAGAACAGCTTCATATGCCATTTGATACTTTTAGATTCTGGAGCCTATACACATCGCTGATTTGGAATTCGGGTTTTTCAGCTCCCTTAGGTGAACATCCAAGGTCACCAGTCCTGTTATAAGAACCACACGTTAGAATTTGCCCTTTGACAGTTGTGAGGGACACTGCCGCCGTGACGTGAAGACAGTGAATGGGAGCTTCCTGGCAGAGGCTGTGAATGCGTGGCCCCAGGAGAGCACTTAGAGAGGAAGACTAGAGTCCATTCACCCTCATTCGTACCAGGTCATATATGGGGGAGGGGATAATGTCACGGCGGGGCGCATGAACACAGCACACAACCCTCTTAAAACCAAACAAACAACCAATAATAATGTATTATCCAATCGCCCTTGGTGAATCTGTGAAAGGACATATTACGGACGTCATGAAAGACAGCATCGAAAGCGATACTGATAGAGACACAAATAAACGCACATTGCTACCTTAACTTCGTGTGTCGGTGGCGCAGGGGTTAGGACTCTCGCCGACCATGCACATGGTCGAGGTTCGATCCGCTGCCAACGCACACCTGATATCCATGATCGGCCTGCGAAATTTGGGCTACCGATATCCATGCTGAAAATTCCATACTTGTACCGAAAATACAGTGTGGAATCAAGCTGTAATAAAAAAAACTTATTGTGATGAGTAGTACTTTAATATCAATGAAAACAGTGAGATTTCTAATATCTTTTAATTACTAAAACTTATCGGTTTGTAAGACGTATCTGTTAAACTGCAACACCATATAATACTTGCCAGCCACCCTGGAGGTCTGTGTTCGACCCCTGGCAGACACACTCCTACACCCCTCTCAGTTTGCCAGCCAGTAGTAGATCCAGACAAAAAATAGCACCCTACTCAAACTTCAAAGATTGAAGTCCTAAGTTCCATTAGGAAAGTGAAGAGAAAAAGGAAAATCTGTCACACTGTGCTTAATTTCATGTTCATTGATAAATGACAAATTCATTAATCTTGATAAAGAAATAAGTTTCAGTGTATAAGTAAAGGGGAGTTAGTCTTTTGTATTAATTGAGAGGACCAACTTATTCGTGTATTTAGAATTGTGACAGACACCAGGGTTGAAACTATTCCAGGAACTCATTATTAAATAAGATTCCGTGACTCATTTAACTTAGTAGAATTCAGATACCCAATACCGAGCTGTAAGCCATACTTACTGTGTGAAGACTGAAGTAGATGGGGGGCGGGACTCAAACCCAATTCTATGTCAACCAAAAGACGCAACAGGGAAAGAAGATAAAACCAACATCATCTACAAAATAAATTGTAACAACTGCAAAAAACACTACATTGGTCAAAGTGGACATCCCCTTCGTCTTCGTATCCACAAACATAAGATAGCCGTCAAAAGACATGATACCACTCCCTCATATCACTACATAAAGTAAATCATTATTATTATTATTACATACAGACAACCACGGACATCAATTAGACTGGGATAACGTTCAAATATTAGACAGAGGAAACAACAAGGATGCTATAGAATTTTTAGAAGCTTGGCATTCCAGTGAATCATAAATCAATAGACACATCGAGATATACAAAATTTATCAACCGATAAAAAAGAAACCTCACACACAAAGGACCACACTTCAAGTCAATGAAACAATCAGTTTCAATACAAGTAACCTAGAAGGTGTGAAAGAAAACACACAAAAACAACCAATCACGTCCAAGGCCACCAGGGGAGATGATTAATAAACTCGTGGAGAAATCTAAAAGTGTGCGCTGAAGATGTCACCTAGTAGGGTGATGAAAGCTTCGCAAATTAACTTTCCAGCTCAGAGAACACAACCACATCAAAATCATCCACCCGAGCTACAAATCTTCTCTATCATATGTAAACCCTGTACCACCTATTGATTAGAAGTCGAGTGTTTAGGGTAATGGGCCATTTTTTATTCTAATTAGGCAAATATCACTCCGCAAAGGTCTCGTGTATTGAAGCTTGTTGATCGACTAAGTAGAATGAATAGCTGTATGGTATACATACATACATGCGCACGCCTACATGTGGCACTACTGAGCTGTAACTTTATGAATAATACACAAGTACATTGCCAGAAATATCCTGTCTCCTGGCAAAGTGTAAGAGCTGTAAAACGACTGACTGGTTGGTCTCAACGTGGAACTTTGCACAGGAAATGCAACAGTTCCAGTTGCTACACCCTATTTATGACACAAAGGAAGACAAAAGAGAGAAGAGGTCCAAGAGAACGATGCTAAGCAGAAATGTGAGGCAGAAACAAAAGTAACATGGAAAAACAATAGGGTTCAATGGATCTGCAACCTTGAAGGAACTCATGTCCCTTCTGAGATTCGAACCTGCGTCACCCAGTGCTGCAGTCAGAAACGTTACCACTGACAGACCTGGAGCGGGGTGAAAAAGTTGTCAGAAAACAGAAGGCAATGGAGGTGCGCAGCTGAAGCCCTATGTTCCTCTAGGAACTAAAGGATACAATAATAATAATCAATGGATCTGGAAGATTACAAAAAAGTGAATGCATCTGTGATATTGACAACTATTTAGAGCCATATTAGTAATAGTCTGCATTCAGAGGTTGTCAGCACTCTAAGGACTCCAACCAGGCAGTCTAAACCTCCCTCCCTAAGTGTCAGGCTCAAACGAACAGTCAGAGACTTCGTGGATCGATGCCAGGTTTACGTTTGACCACCCAAACCCTATATCAGCTAACGTGTCTTAGCCAACTCAATCAGTGTCAATGATTCACAACTTCATCTACTGACTTTCTTTCCTTACCTAGGACTATACGCCTAACCTCAATTTACTCGCCATATTATACCATTTGACCGGGGAAGTAGAACTCAGTCATCCCGATTGCTGTTACACCCTATTCGCAAGTAGTAAAACTTCCCCACAGACCTCCAACATTATGACGGTGACTGCTTTTAGTCTAACCGCTACCCAACACAGCCTTTTTACCATCGTAGAACCTGCAGGAACATTCATTCTAGCTAGTGTAGCTCACTGGGTCATTGCGATATGCAAGCCCAATCATCACTTCAAAGTTGGGGAATTATTTTCAATAAAAAAAGTAGTACTACTCACTATAAATGGTTGTTTGGTAACTATTTCTGAATGATATGTCTCATTCATTACCATATTGATATTCATATCTTTCAATGTTAAATTATCATTCGAGTTAACATCAATATCCGATTGAGATAAACAAACAGGATGGCAGCATTTCATAATAAAATCAGATTGATGCTGATGATGTTGATGTCTATTTGATTTTGACGATGCTGCTGATGGTGGCAGCATTAGATCCAATGATTTTCTTTGTCCACCTTGTTGTTGTTCAATGATGTAATCACTTTTCACTGGTTTAATGGCTATTTCAGCTAATCCTTTCGCTTGTGGTCCGATGACTCGCATAAATTGAACTGAACGATTATCGCCATTATTGTTGCTGTTATTATTATTATTCACAGAAGAAGAATATGAATAAAAACTTCTTGTCATTCGATTATTTCGTTGATGGCAATGATTACTAAAGTGACAATTTGAACGAGGGTTCTATTGAAGAAAAGAAAGGAGGGAGAGAGAGAGAGAGTAAACAGAGGGGTGATTGTATGGCATATCTCTTTTTTAATATATGCGTTAAACTCGGGCACTGTGTGGTAGTAGTAAGTAATTCCATATTAGTTTGTTTATTAGAGGTATCACACAGTGAAACAGTATTATTTACTGGATGACACAGTTTTGAACAAAATTTATTACTGTTCATAATCATTTCATCAATTATAATCACTCGCTTTGAAAATCGAGTTTGATAGTTTTCTTTGTTCTCTCCTATTTGTCATCGTTAGGGTAGTAGAATTTTCCAGATATCTGGATGGACAGGTGTTCAATCATTCCTATTACACGTGTTGGTTTGCAGTTGATTAGATAAACAAAGCTTCTGTTATCTTTCTCTGCCTCCACCTTGTAACATTAGATTATAAAACTGTCATCCTATCCCATCTAGCCTATTGTATGGTTGTGTGTAATTGCACGTTGTGAGTGCTGTAGCTGAACTATTCTCTACATTTCTTATCTTATTCAGGTCAACTAATCTAGATTTTGCTAGATTTTTATGCTAGGCTAGTCTGACTGCCCCTGTTCTACTACTTTGACCAAGGTGTTTGACCTGACAGTCATTCCAGCAGGGTATTAGATAAGCTAAATTGTTTTGTTTTCAAGGCTCCACAGGATTGATCCTTTAACCGACAAAGCTTGTTTCTAATTGGGTTTGTGAGTCTGAATACCACTTTTATTCCTGTCTTGTTAAAGAGGTTTCTGAGGTTCTCTCTTTGTATGGAAGTACTATTGATGATTTAGTTTCCTTATTGCTGGTGTTGTCTTGCGCATATTTGACATGCTCGTCGTCATTATTATTATTATTATCACTATCACTACTATCACTATTTATTTTATTTTTGCATTTCCCTACATACTTTTCTGGCTAATTTATCAGGGTAATTATTAAGTTTCAAGGCTTCTGTTATGTGTATCACTTCCTGTCTTAGATTTTCCTTGGTACTACTTAGATTTTGTGCTCTATTACTTAGACATTTCACCAATCCTACTTTTACTGACATAGGATGGAATGATCGGAAATCCAAATATCTGTTTGAATGTGTGGTTTCTGTAAACACTAGTGTTCAACTTCCCATCTTCTTTCCTTTACACGCTGGAATCTAACATTGGAAGTCTCCTTCCTGACTTTCCAATTCATAAGTGAACTGAATTGTCTCCACCTTTGAGTTAATTAGTTCGGAAAATCTATCTATATCCTGTGTTCTAATTACAGTGAATGTGCCATCTACATACCTTCACCATACTTATGGGGTGGGGCTAAGTTTCCCCACCTATCTATGAATATACATGCCACAATCAGGGATATTCGTTATCCCATGGCAACTCCCTCAGTTTGTTTGTATATTTTCCCCTGGAATTTAAATACTGTGGAAGTCAGGCATAGCTGCACTCCCAGCATTATGTTCTCAAGTGGCACTTTCGTCATAAGTTCAAGTTCTTGGTCAGAAATGAGTTCGTTTCTGACTGCCATATTTATTGGTATACGTGTATATAAACTGATAATGTCAAAACTAACCATTTTTTCTTCATTATCTAATTTTAAATTATCCAATCTATGTTTTAGTTAATAAGAATTTAAAATTAGATAATGAAAAAAATGTTTAGTGTTGACATTGTCACTTTATATTTTTTAAAAGATACAGAAATATATCTTGTCATTAAATCACCATAGCAATGGCTAAGACGATACATTTAGTGGAGATGTGCAATACAGCAACTCCGAAACAGAGTTTTAATATGCATATAGCCTCTCCTATCATTGAAATTTCTCATGAGCAGGTGTTTGTCTTCTAAATTCACTGAAATAATGATAATTTATAACCGATAATAAGAAACGTGTTTCATTAGTACAATAGCAGCAGACTCGCCAACCACGTCGCAAGTTATCCTAGGTTTGACTCCTGGCCAGTCGACGCACTTCTAGACATCTTTTAACCAGTAGTGAATACGGCAAAGAAGGAAGATTGGGCGTCATTTTAGTAGCCCCACTCCAGTAAACAAAATAAACACTAATATTACTGAAAATTCAAAGCTCAATGCTTGAAGCCCCCTCTATATGCCACCCGGAATGCAAAGGGATAGAAAAAAAATGCGGAAAAACAGCCACAGGAGACAGTTAAGACGGAAAAAAACCAGAAGAGAATAAAATAAACAAAACTAAGCCCATGGTATAACGAACTCTCAGTTTGTTTATTTCATAAATAACTCTAAATGATAAGTCAGTTGAAGTGCTGTCACATGTGTGTCACTGACATGGTGTTCAATTATAGCACTTCTGACTGAACTCCTGCTACCTCTTTAAAGCTATGCTGTGCGGCGTTGTCTATCCTGTTTTAAAGTGGTGTGTATAGAACAACTTGTGTATCTAGCTCTACGAAGTGGTTGAAAACTACTCACGTCAAACAGTAGTACTTGTTAACCAGACCACCAAATATGGCGATCTGACTATTTTTCATTTCTCAGTCAAATTAAACTATTAAACTATGGTGATTCCTCATTAACGAATTTTACTCTATGCATTACCAGTTCACCAAACAAGCTAGTCAGATTTCCAATGTGGTTTTTACTGATTTAGTTCTCTAAGCTGAAAATCAAAGCGGGTGTAAACAGCGTGTAAGCTCGGTCATAAACAAGCCATCCGGTGTTTTGGATAACTTCAGTCTGACTAGAAAGCACTTATTATTGTTTGACGTGAATGGTAATCAACTACTCATGTCACTTAATCAGTAGAATGTAGCAAAACAAAATATTTAGTTGATATGTCTATGAGATAATTAGCTCGAAACACAATCGTTAGAATAAACTTCTTTGTAATACTATATATATATATATATTACGAGTTGATCACGGATTGATATCAATTAGAGAACCATTGAAAACTAGGGAGTACTGGACAGCTGTTTCATCCTAGTTCGGGACTCTTCAGCAGCACGTGCCCACCGCAAGGGTGCGGACCCAGGACCTTCTGGTTACAAGGCGGGCTAGCTCGTAGACCATTAAGCCACTGGGACCCGATCCAATTGGGCAGCTCATGAATTTTAACTTCTGACAATACTGTTGAAGAGTCCAAAACTAGGACGAAACAGCTGTCCAGCACTCCCAGGTTTTCCAGTGGTTGTCTAACCGATGTCAGCTCATAATGAAATCCTCCATACCATCAGAATTCGCGTGAAAGAGCCACTACTACTGCCATGGCCTTCAGTAGAGACTATAAATTCATGAGTTTGTAATATTATCTTTCCTAATTTTTCTGACATTCAACTTATTTTATGTTGATGCTGTTGAGCTGTAATCTATCGATATTATTGATTCGATGTTATTTAAACAACATTAATGTTTTTCATAAAACTAATTCATTCATTCACTATCATGTATATATAGCTGTGGAACCCGATGATGAAGTAATGGAAAAGAGTATTCTCTGCTCAGTAACCATTCTTTTGAAAACGAATAGAAATAAATAAATGGTTATCTCTCTACGGCCAAGGAAGAAATAGGAATTGTACATAGTTCTTTTGTACACAAAGGTCTGGCTTGGATTCATGAATAACCAAGGCCTCCGTTGTTTTTAGAAGTTTATAACGAAGAAAACACGGTAAGTTGTCACGAATTCGATAGATTATCTTTAACTCATGGTCAGGGTTGGTAGACCAAGTGTTCTAGAGTAGAGCTTTGCACAACCTTCTTTTCTACCTTGTAAAATGATGCTGGAATATGTGTTCTCGTATCTATGTGGAAAACACTCTCTGGCTACAGCTAATGTACCTTGCTCCACAACACCAGGTGAACTGATATATGCACATGGAGGTGACTGAACGAGACAGCTTATCTTTTGCAGAGACGGAGAACAGCTTACGGGATGATCAGGGCCATCTGTAGTTTCGCAGAAAAGAACTTTTTAATGACTAATTTAGAGACAACTTTTCGGCATATCTGAAGTTTGATCAGCTTTGAATTCCAAGTCCATGAGGATGGTTTTCTTTGGGACTGAGTCAACCGCCAGTTCAGACTAGTAATTTTTCGTGTTTTTTTTTGGCAATAAATCGGTCCTGCTAACCGTTTCCTACGACCGTGGCTTCTAGGAATGATAGTTCTGATTCAACGTGGTCAGAAATACAAATGTTTCTTATCCTAAGGCAGAGTAATGAATCAAGTTTCTTTTCCTGGAAATAGACACCCAACTACAAAAATTTGTTAGTTGTTCATTCGATGTATCTTTCCGATGGATGGATCTTTTGAGACATCCGTCTTTATGTCTACTGAGGCAAATATCAAGAAACGAAATGCTTAGTTAAAACTCCTTTTCTACGGTAAATTGCAAAGAAGGATGAAAGTTGTTGAATGCAAGCAAGATATATCATCAAATATTACGTTCTTATTGCAGATAACGAATGTGCCGTCTTCGTATATTCTTTAAACATAAAAGCGATCGACGTTTGGACGAAGTTGAAAGTTTACAAGCTTTGCCATAAAAACGTCAGTCAACAGTGGATCCAGAGGTGATCCTATCGCGATGTCATTTATTTGTCTAACAATCGCATTTCATACTATTATTTTTATATATATTCACATCTTTGATTCAATTACCACACCGGATATAATTTCTTAAAAACCATATATATACATACGATTGTACGGCATGATAATAAATTCATTGAAGTCTCTTTCATGAATATTGTGTTCTAAATATCAAGAAGACAAGTAATTTAAACTTATAGCAAGAAAGAGCAGTATAGGCTTACTACTTAAGATATGAATAATGATGAAGGAAATCAAACCATTGCAAAATTTGTTTAGCAAACGTTTCATTATCACGCTGGACATTATTATCAATGCGATTTCATGTAAGGGTTATATTCAAACATAACTTCAAACTTGTAAATATGCATATTTGTATATACATAGCGGTAAATCAAGAGTAAAACAAGTTAACTTACACATGAGTCATAAAATTGTTTTAATGTACTATACGAAATAGTTCCAAGAAAACAAACTCCATAAACTTGTCCAGCGCGATCGTATGCAGTTAACTCAACATTCAGACATTCACTATCACGTAGAATACAATCTGAAAATGCCTATTTAGAAAAACAAAAAAATGCAAAGGAGAACAATAATTCATACAAAACTTGATTTCATTTAACGAAATGCAATAATAAACTAAAATGTTCAGCTAGTAGAGAAAGCAACACTTAGGTTTCATTAATATGCTATAAAAATTGAGAGAAGCCTAAATCTTTTAGAATAGATTCAACATGTTATGTCGTCCACATCTTTTAAATAACGGTGGGTAGTGGTCAGGAAAGCTTTGTGAGCTCATGGTAGTGTGTGGGAGGTTATTACTTCTCGGCTACCCACCCACACTTTGGAGGTTGATTTTTACATTGGGTGCCTGAAATAGAAGGAGCGTCAGTGTTGCATGACGGTGGAGTCAAGGGGACAACTGCTTCAGGCCAGTTAAACACGGTCTGTATGATGAAGTGGTTTTTAGAATTGCGTCCGTATTACCGCCGTAGGACAAGTCAAGATGCACAATTTTTGGGGTCGACCTATTCTAACCCTTTCTGCTCCTCCTCCTCCTCTTCAGAGGTGAGGAAACAGCATAACCGTTCATCTGAGGAAGACAAGTTACTGATGTCACTTACCTATTTAAAAAACATAACAGATTGAGCGAAGAAATATACTTCTTTTCAATCAGTTCCTCAGCGCTGGCTCTAAACTAATATATAGTTTTGTACATCAAAATTTCTTACCAATCAAGTGGTTTTTTTAGTTAATCAGTTTAAGGCATAGGGGGTGAAATTTGTAAAACATCGACTAAGAAGAATAGGATAACTCAGAAGAGTTACGTAAATACGTAATTAGAACTAGTTAGAATTGTAACAATTGTAAAAATTAACAAAGTCAAAAGATAGTTACAAGGGGAAGGGAAAAACTCGTTTTTAAAAACTTAACACATATTGTGTAGTTGGCCATGGCAAAGAAAAGGGCTGTACACGCATCCTTTTTGCACACATAGATTTGGCTTGTTCAGGTGAATTCCAATTGCCTTTGCTGTATGTAAAAGTCGTACTCGTAGAGTATGCGAAAGGTTGGATGAAATAAGACAAATAACTTTAAAAACTTTGTTGGAGTCGACTTGATGTCCAGTATCGACGAGATGAGCTAGTATTGAGCTGCGTATAGCTTTACTCGGACCTTTGTCAAACCAAGATGGGAAGTGTTAGAAATTCGACAATGAACTTACCTGGTCGTACGCCCTATGTAACTAGCTCCGCACGGTAGTACGATTTCTCCCACAGACTCCCTTATAGTGTAAACAAGTGATACTACGACAGTTACTGCTTTTGGTCTAACGCTATCCAGCAGCCTTTTTGTAGTGGTAGGATCTGCAGGAACATTAATTTCAACCAGTAAGTTTCGAGGTAAATGTCATCGGCGACAATTGGAAAACCATTGTAAACTCGGGAGAGGAATTGATAGCTGTTTCAGTAGTACGCACTACAACTCCACCAGAAGTCGAAAATAGTACCTTCATTCGTTATAAGATGGGTATGTGTCCATACAAACACTTCGCTCGCCTTTTATTGAGGTTATGAGTGCGCATTCCTAACGAGTCTCAGGGCATAGGTTGAAACAACTGTTCATTACTCCCATATTTATAGTTGTTCACTCACTGATATCAGTTCGTTACGAAACCTACCTTCCAATCAATTGAATTTTAGTCCATAGATAAAAAGGATTTGAATTAGCAATTAGTGAATTCTATGGATTCTATTCTCTTGAGCTCCTAGTGTGATATACGGCTTTAGCAGTACATCAACATTCCACACTCTCTTCTTTGTTTTTTTTTCCTTCACGTTCCCCAGTGGAACATAGGGCTTCAAGCTAGTGGCTTGAAGTTTCTGTAACAGTGTTTATTTTAAAGGATGGGGTTGCTAGCTCCATGTCCAACCCTTCCTCTTTATCAGGATTATTTCTGGCTTAGCGAGGTAAAGGAGTGCGTCGGTGGCAGGGGATCGAACCTCGGACCATGTGCATGGTTGGCGAGCATCCTAACCGCTATGCCACCGATGAACCTCTTCTCTGTAGTCCTCCTTTATTAGCTGGCCTCATGATTGCAAATAAGTTTTCATTTACGCCTCACACAATCCCCCCCCTCTGTTGTTACCATCAGACACTCCCGAAATCAATGTTTTCGATTCAGGTTCCACCAAAGGAATTGACGCGTGATTTCACTCAATCGTCTTCTCAGCTTAACAGGTTCTGTCATGAACCAACATCATCGAAACTCTAATACTGCCTGAGGGCTGTTGAATGGTTGTCTAGACCACATTGGAAACTCAAGCTAACAATTCCATGAAGAATCGACGCAAGATCATACAATTTCACGAATCAGAAGGATTTTTAAAGCATGAGCCATTGGATTTCTATCCAGTGACCTGATGATAACATCTTCAGTATGAGGCACAGTGATCCTAAGTGGGGTTTTAAGCTTGTACTTCTGAAGAGTACTAAAATAGGACAAAACAGACAGACAGGATTAAACTCTTTTTAATCTTTCTCTAGATACTGTCCATTCATCACAAAAACTACTGTCATATACACATTATGCACGACCTGTCTGATGGGTCAGTGTAGAAATTATCACAGAAGTGCATTATTTCAAGTTGCCGCATTTCGCAAGAGCATACCAAATAGGAAAATGTATATGGAAATGTTACCACAGCATACAAACATGGATTCGTTGAAAAGAATTATTCCACAAAGATTAGTGAAGCCTTCTAGAATCTGGACAGTGAGAAGTGAGTATAACTGTACCAGCAAGAACAATTGTGAGTTATGTCTTTAACAGCCTCCAATCGTTGATTCGTAGTATCCAAAGGACCTCCAATCAGGAAATTAACGCCTTCCATATAACTTGAATCAACAGTCAATGCACTTTATAAACTGATGTCATATTTTTTTCTGACTACCGGAAACCTATTACATAGTGATCAATTAGTGTAGGAACTGTAAATACTCTAAACTACAGTTAGACCATAGTTTTCGCATTTCTCGAATACATCTCGAAGTCACTTTTGTCGAACATGTGGATAGAAATTCAGATTTTAAACAAACGGATAACTGTTTCATCCATCTAGGAAGTAGGTAGAAAAAGTAGACAAGTGGTGGGTCAATCGTCATGGCGTGGTGCCATAGGATGAAGGATAGTTGTGTTAGCAGCTTAGCATCTGTAGGCGCATGATGACTTCCTGGTCGGGATCCGAGAGACTCTAGACAGAGAATGGTAATCAATGGCGAACATTTTCTTTTCCTCTCTTTCTGAAAGTAACAATGAAATGGTGAATGTCTCTTAAATGCTTTTCATAGGCACGTTTGCCTGCTTTCATGACCCTGTTCCTCTCAGGTACCCGACTTCTCTTCAATATATCGTGTCTTAACTTTCGTGTACGGCGCATCTCTTCATGCCCACATTTTACTTCATTTGTATTCAAATAAATATGTGAATAAATAGTGTAACTACAGAATACAAGAGTGGTTGGTAACAGAATGTTTATTTGCAGTTTGCCGTCAAATTCATGTCTCCACCACTTGGTATATTTGTGCTGATGAACGTCTTTTCACATACTTCTGATAAATCTTGTCAGTAGTACACACCACACTAGTAAATATCAGAAAGCGAGTTATCAACAAAATCTACTTTTGCGTGTCTTCCTTTGGAAACTCATGTCATATTATTACACATTCCCTTTTCCAGGGAGATATTGTGTTATGCTATTTCTGAAGCTGTTTATCCGTTAATCAATAGTGTATATGATTATTTAGAACCTGCTCAATTCGGTATGCGATTTGGTTAGGAGTAGCAGTTAGACGAAAACATTGGTATTAATTCATTGAACCTTTGACTGTTAGTTCGAACCCAGTAAGGAGATGAAAAGTCTGGCTGGAGGCTTCGAGGCTCTAAGAAGCAGTGGCTGGAGACTGTTGGATACACGACTCAAGATAGTTATCACCAGCACAGACGCATTCAATCTTTGTGATCTTTCTGTTCTATTAAGTTCTCCTTGTTCAAAATGAGTGACAAATGTGTTACACAGCTTGTATCGGAGTTACAGCAAGTTGAAGTGAGTAGGTGAAACGATTAACAGATATTTAGCTGAAATTGCTTACCTCTTCATAATTATCAATTGTAAAATATAAATCTGGATAGACTATCTGTTCGTAACTGCCTTTCACATCCATTTTTCTATGACTGGGAGATGCATAAACAGTCTACAAGAAAAATAATAATAGTAGTAGTAACAATAGCTATTTTCTCTTGAAAAGTATTTTACTTTAAGAATTTAGTTACAAAAGGAAATAGACTACTACCAATGTAATATACTACTCATTACTGTAGTACAGTTTTATCCACTGGACAGTAGAATCCAATACTAACAATATAGGGGATATGTGACTCACTGGCTTAAGCGCTCGACTTTTAGTTTGCGGGTCCCGGGTCCGAACACCACTCCATCTAGGTATTATTATCAAACCTCTTACTATCACCGATATTCATCATTGCAGTGAACTGGATCATGCATCAGACCGTGAAGACACTGATACGTTGGATGGACAAGAAGACTCTAGATGATCTGAACTTCACGAACGATTTATGCCCAATGTCACAGAAACTCGAAGATCTACGGGCGAAAATCAGCAAGTTAACAGAAAAAGCAGCGAAGAGAGGATTTCAAGTGTACATAGAGAAGACAGAGGTGGTGAAGACAACCAACCGACCAACGACAACAACCGGCACAAATCACCATCAATAGGAGGCATTTGAAGGAAGTCACTTTTTTCACTCATCTACGCAGCATTGTTTCAACGACAGGCAGTCGGCACGGATGAGGATATCAAATGCAGGATAGGAAAATCAAAACGGACCTTTTCATTAATCTGAAATTAGTGTGGAAATCTGTCACACTCAGCTTAAGGGACAATATCCGATTCTCAGCACTAATTTTAAGTCAGCCAGTGCTTCGATGTAGTTCAGAGACTTGGCGTAAGCATCACAAAAAACATTTCCCACAGATTGTAGAATTTTATCAACAAGTGCCATTGTTGGCTTTATATTAAAGATCAGATGGTTTGAAAGGGTTGGCGACAAGGAACATGGGGAAGAACCAAATAAGAATCTACTGACCAATAGATATACCGAAAGAAAGTGAGATGGACTGAACATACGCCGAGAAAACCACTGGGTGACATCATGCGTCAGACCCTTGAATGGGAAACAGCAAGTTGGGTGTTAGTTTCTAGGATGACATGAAGGAGATCGTGTGAGGAGATGAAAGCTTACGGTCTGTCGCAGAGCAGCTAAAGAGGACTGCAAGAGAACATGATGAAATGAAAATGTTGAATTAGGAAACCAAAAGATTAATAATAATAATAATACTCAACAAGTGCGTTCATAGTCTATAACAGAAAAAGTCATAGCTGAATTCACCTAGTGATGAATAGGTATCTGATTCTGATAACATGAAATTATTTGACATTTGAATGCTTAGGTAAAAATTAGACACATCTTAATCATATGAGTATCTACTAACCAAATTATTCATACACATAACTGAATACACCACTGATCACTTCTCATTTACCCATTCATGCTTTGAATCCTTTCATCAGAAAAAAAGGATTAAAAAAGTTGGGGGCAAAGAGAACACTTTTCAAAGGTATTTCTTGTTTGAATTACCTTGAATTCCAGTATACGAATATATTTAAGAGTGTTCAAGTATTGGCTTGTACGGATTTGATTGATTGGTTACAGGATTTCATCATGAACTGACATCAGTTAGAGAACCATCGGAAAACCAGCGGGGAGTACTGGACAGCTGTTTCGTCCTAGTTTTTGGGATTCTTCAGAATCCTGTAACCAATCAATCAAATCCCTACAAACCAATACTTGAATATCAATGAGATGCTCACTAGCGACTGGCTCTATTCAGGCAGGTGTGGGTACCTGGGGTTCTAGTGGGAAGTCGTGATCAGTAGGGTGCAGCAGGTCGGATGTGAGGACAAACACTCGCCGAAGACATAGGCTAGCGATCGCGCTATGTCATGAATTGGCAGAAGTTAGAATACATGGGCTGGCCATTGGTTCAGGTCTCAGTGGCTTAATGGTCTACGAGCTCACCTTGTAACCAGGGGGTCCTGGGTTCGAACGTAGTTGGGGTGAGTGAGTGCTTCTGAAGAGTCCCAAACCAGGCTGACAAAACAGTTTTCCAGTACTCCCTGGTTTTCCAATAGTTCTCTAATTGATGTCAGCTCATGATGAAATCCTGTAACCATATTTAGGAATGATTCATATCAAAAGCTACAAATCACTGTATTTTGAAATCAGTTACCTAGGACAGATGATCTTTTAATGTACCAGAATATCAGCCACATTTATTCCATAAGGGTTGATAATAACATTCTTCGCGCTTAAATAGGTGGAACATGATTCGAAAACGCGGAATTTATGGGTTGAAAGGCAATCAACTTCACCTTCTACTAAGACTGCATTAAACAGACAAAGGGGAAAATGACTACCACCACTATTTATTCTGCTTCAGTCATTTGCTCAACCCGTGAAAAGTGAACTGATGGTGAACTCAAAATTGAGACTAACAACGAAAAAAAAAGTAGACATAAATAAGGGAGGAAAACTAACCTGAGTAAATTTCTTCAAATTTGCCATTCTTGTGGTCCAGTGCGGGTACACACAGCAACCGTTAATATATAGACAAACTGAAAGGTATCAGTAGGATTGGTATTTTAGAGAAAAAGAAAAGAGAACCAAGGCTGAATATGACTCATCTTTAAACAATTAAGAATTCTTCACCAGTATTAAAACAAGAGTCTAGAAAATTTGACCGAACAGATCCACATCAATTAGGTGCCGAGTGATAAGTAGATATCACATAAAACTTATATTTGTAAAATCTAACCGAAATTGAAATAAGTAAATTCCAACACATTTCGTTCGGCCAACTAGTCCGAACTTCTTCAGGGAAATTAATCGAAATAAAAATAACAAAAGTATAGTGCACAGACACCTCGGTTACAATTCAGCACATCCCTTTACCATCCACAGTAAGTGTTGCCAAGAATTGATTAACAGAGTCAAATGTCTAATTGTTGAGAAAGAAGAGACCAACAGGGAATTAAAATTGGTTCAGTTTACTATATGTGTAAGGCTTCGGCACGTTTTAGTACTAAACAAATAAACAACATATTTGAAGACATTAAATTCACAGGAGAAGAAGAATTCGACAACTAAATTCCACTCTTAGATGTTTTAATCAAGAGAACTAGCACAGGAAATTTAGAAACACAAATATATAGAAAAACAAAGCACACAGACTAAATACTAGACTATAATAGTAATAACCCAATTACCCACAAAACAAACTGTGTGCAGACATTGTTTAAAAGAGTTTAAACACATTGTAGCACTCCGGTGTTGAAAAGATTGGAAGAAAAATACCCATTAACCATTCTCAAAAAGAATGAATACCTACACAGTTTCATCGAAAAATGTTTAAGCTCCAGTGATAACACCTACAACAAGCCAACATCAAAGATCATAAGAAAATCCACTCTGTCGTAAATAAAAATATCTCTGAAATAACAGCTAGAATATTAAGACCGGTTGAAGTAGGTACAGCACACAAGCCATCTAGTACAATCACTTCATTCGATATTGTACAAACCAAAAGATCCAACAGAAAAAGAAGATAAGATATAATACTGTTTATAAACACTACATCGGTCAAAATGGGCGTCCCCTTAGAATCTGAATCCGCGAACACCAATTGGCTGTAAAAAGACATAATTATGCATAGTCTTGCATACCACTGCATGTAGATAATTATGGACACCTATTTAATTGGGACAATGCGGAAAATTTAAACACATGAAACACTAAAAGTGTCAGGGAATTCCTAGAAGCCTGGTACTAAAGTGAATCAGCCAGTGATGAAACAAACCCATTACTATAGACCAAATTTATAAGCTAATAAAAAGTAAATCATTTGGCAAGAAATTTTGAATTCCAAGTCAATAAAAATGATCGACAGAGACGTAAATCAACTACCAATCACGGCAATGGTTGTCACGAGATACAAATACATCATTTATGGAGAATTTAAATAAGTCCATTTTACACAAAAGCCTGAACCGAAGCGATGTTGTCTAGAAGGATGACGAAAGCTTCGCAAATGAATCAAGCAGCCCAGAGAACATAACTAATTCAATACAACTATTCATCTCAATCAATAATAAGTAGTAGGTAGTTTTATGCCTCTACATATAAACTTAAGAATTTCCTTGAAGATGAAATATTTTACATTTGAAAACCACAGCCAACTGTTCTTTAGGAACCACACTTAAAAAAATATGAACATCTGACACTCGGTTATATTCCTAGTGTGTATTGAATCCAGCTCATTTTAACTGTTATTGCTCAAAGACAATAAACACTAGATCAATAACCGAATAGGAACGCCGAATTTCGGATATGTGGAGGGATTCAAACCCATTTCAGTGTATACTTCGTTACGAATCAAAATATCATATCGAAAACCATTGAAAACTAGAAACAACTGAATTTCTCTTTCGTCCCAGTTTAAAATCCCTCAGTAGTCCTCATCCATCAGGGGTCGAAGTCAAAGTTGTCACATTACAAGGCTAGCCTGCAGACTATTCTCAGCTGCTGTATCAGAATTGAACGTCGAACCAATTTAAACTTCTGTCAATTCGTAATATACCACCGCTGGTAAACAATGCAATCCAGTGCTTCTTGGTTTCCACTTACACTTAAACTTGAATAAAGCAAGAACAACAGTGGAGGTTTGTGCAGAATAATATGGTAGCATCATTTATTTCGTTGGTTTCTCATCAGTTGCTTACAGCCTAAATAAATTATGAGGTTTATGTACAGAAATGTTTTAACATACTTCCAAATTTCACGTAATCTTTGTCTTTAACCTCACCCTCCTGTTATAATCTGTCATTTTGCTTGTCTGTTTCTATGATTTGAGTTCAACTCAGTACATTGTTACCTAACTTATAAGTCACTATGCATCTAACGCACATCTCATCTTTATTACGTAACTCCTTTACCATTATATACATACATTTATTTTGTTTAAACTTGAACTGCCTGTGTAAAAACTATATAAGTGCAATTTTCTGAGCACCGTTCACTAATTGTGGAACTTTCTGTCAACTGACAACATGTAAAAAATTTGCAAGTATGTTAAAACTTTTCTGCACGTAAACCTCATAATTTATTTGGGCTGCATACGCAGCTAGCTGATGAGAAGCCAACGAAATAAACAGTGATGGTACCATATTATTCTGCACAAACTACTGTTGTTTTTGCTTTATTCAAATTCATCAAGGGGAATAAATGCATGAAGTACACTTAAACTGATGTCGGTTTTTTGATGAAATCTACACTGAAATATAAGTTTCTTTCTTAAAATGTATTTTGCTTTAAGTCTACGCCGATTCACTGATGTTATGTCCACTGCTTAATTTCAACGGATACAACAAGTTTACGCATATGGGTTAGCAATTGGCTAACTTAATGGTTTTTGGTTGGAACATTTGCCTTTCAGTCGGTAAAGTTTGAGTTTAAAATGCACTCGGACAAGTGTTATTATTGGTCTAATGTCCACTAGTTAAGATGTAACGTCAGTGGTTCAGAAGTAGAATGCTCACCAACCACACCTGAGGTAGTCCGGAGTTCGATCCTCGGCCGACGCACTCCTCAATCTTGCTTAGCTGGTCCAGCAAAGAGGAGGTTTGGGTGTGTAGCTAGCCACTCCACCCTTTAGAAGAAATAATAACACCACTGCTAATGGAACTTCAATGTTGAAAGCTTAGAGACCCCTATGTTCTACTTGGAACGTACAGGAACACAAAATTACGACGTAAGTATCTAGATAATTCGTATTTCTTTTCTTCTCATTCCTTGAACTCTGAGCGGAACATAGGGCTTGGAACTTGGGGGTTTCACTACCGGTGGCGTTGTTTTTACGGGGTGAGGGTTTCTAGTCTCACTCCCAACTCCCTCTTTTTTTTCCACGCTTATTAACCGCCAATAAACTGGGCGAGGTTTGTGAGTGTGTAACGGCGGGAAATTGGACCCAGACTTTGCATGTGGCTGGTGAGCATTCTCCCTGTCTGTCTGTCTGTTTTCGACATAGAACTTTGCACAAATGTGCGGAAGTTCAAGTCGCCACACTCCGTGTAGCACGCGAAGCAAGAGAAGAAAGTACAAGAAAAGCATAATAGAAACAGTGAGCAGAGGTGTGAGACAAGGAAGAGTAAGAACGAAGAACAAAACAGTTTCATTGGAAAAAATAAGTCACAAGGAGTGGATGCATCTGCGCCACTGAGAACGATTTTGAGCCATGTCACCAATTGTTTCCAACCATAGATTTTTACCGTCCCGAGGACCCCAGCCTGGAAGTCTACACCTTCCTACGTGGCTTAGACCAACTGTTGTGGATTTCATTGACTGATGCCAAGTTTTTGTTTGACCGCCGCTAGCTTTTTTCCAGCCTGACCCTATATCCGCTAACATTGCTCGTCGAGGGAGGCGATGGCTTGGCATACGTAACACATGTCCTAACCATCTCAGTCTTTGTAGCTTCACGACTTCGTCGATTGATTTCCCCTGTTTACCTAGAACTCGACGCCTAACCTCCATGTTGCTCACCTTATTATGCCACTTTACACGGGAAATAGAACGCAGGCACCTATGATCAAAGACAGCTAGTCTTTTCATGTCTTCCACTCTCAGTGGCCAGGTCTCACAACCATAAAGGAGGACGGAGCGGACTGATGAGCAGTACACCCGCCCTTTGGTCGATAGTCGAACATCTCGTCTACGCCAGAGTCGGCGTAAACTAACAAATGCGAAACGAGCCCCTTGTATTCGTGCTGAGATTTCGTCAGAGATCAACCCGTTGACACTGGCTGATGGTACTTCCCAAATAAGTGAAGCGGTCAACGTGCTCTACCACTTCACTTCCTATTTTTAAACTAGGCGTCGATGTAGTCCAGTCCTGTAACATCATCTTGCATTTGGCGGGAGCGAATCGCATGCCAAACATTCGTAGATTGCGGCTCAAGGTGTTTAGAAGACTCTGCATTTCGTCAGCGTCTTCGCCTAGAAGGACTATATCGTCTGCATATTCCAAGTCAACGAGATTATTCCCCGGTAGCAAGTCAATCCCTGAGTCGCTGAAGTCACCTAGGGTTAAGTCCATTAACACATCTATGATGAAGTTGAATAGAAAAGGAGATAATGGGCATCCTTGACGGACACCACTGGTCGTCATCAGTTCAGATGACAGCTCGCCGTAAGCCCTCACCTGGCTGTATGAGTACGAGTAGAGTGCCTTAATCAGTGCAATATATTTTCTCGGAATTCCCTTTACAGCCAAGCATCTCCAGAGAACTTCCCGATCGACAGAGTCGAATGCTGCCTTTAGGTCAAGAAATATAATGACTGTTGGACGCCGGTAGGAATGCCTATGTTCTAGAATCTGTCGGAGGGTGAAGATATGATCAATACACCCTCTTCCTGGTCTAAAGCCTGCCTGGCTCTCTCGTGTTTGTGCCTCCCGAGCACCACTCAGTCTACGCATGATTATTGAGCCTAAGACTTTAGATACTATATTAGTCAAGCTAATCCCTCTGTGATTATCACAGGAAGACTTGTCTCCCTTCTTGTATATGGGGATAATCAGTGACTTACACCAACCCGATGGGACTTCTTCTGATTCCCAGACGCTGCCTAGTACCTCAGTTAATGCAGACAGTAAGCTGTCTCCACCGTACTTAAATACCTCTGGAGTCATTCCATCAGGTCCCGCTGCTTTGCCTAGTTTCAGATTGGTGACAGCTTTAGTAACCTCAGTTAGTGACGGAGGACCTGTGTCTATATCCCATTCAGGGAGGTGTTGGATGCTCGGAAGGTTGAGCGTGGCTGTGGGCCAATTAAACTGCTCCTCATAATGCTCTTTCCAACGATCCAGTCGTCTATCCTGGGAGCTAATTATAGTGCCATTTTTTTCCGAGATTGTCTCTTCTCCCACCCGTTTCCCTGATGAGTCTAAGGAGTTGCCTGGTGTTGCCTATCCTCGAAGCTTTCTCCATCTCTTTGGCTTTTGTCGCCCACCACTGTTCACGGTCCTTGCGGAGACTTTTCGTAAGTTTCCTCTTGTGCAGCTTTCGCTCCTCATTGAATTCGGAGCTCGCCGGAATAAGTCTTCTAGCATCTATCAGTTCGGATGAGGCGGTGGAGATCCAGTGGTTTTTACTCACCTTTGGGTTTACCTTATTCACAGCTTTTACAGCTGTATCTATGGCTGCCTGGATATTTTTCCAAGCTTCTTCAGGGTGAGCACAGCTGTCGAACACAGATATGTGTTTAGCTAGTTCTTCCTCAAATACGGATTTAGTTTCCTGATCGAGCTGGGGACGTGATGGTTTTACCGCCAGCTGTTTCCTACGTCCGTTCAGTCGTAAGCACACACGAGCGCGGACCAGTGCATGGTCGGTATCTACACACGTGTTCCAGAAGGAGCGACAATCTCCTACCGACCCACGCCAACGATAGCTTATTGCTATGTGGTCTATTTGTGTCCAGCGTTGGTTTGATGAAGGGGGTCTCCAAGTCAAACAGTGTCTCTCCTTGTGTTTGAAGTTAGTGCTTACAAGAAACAAATGATTATCAGAACAGAACTGTAGGAGACGGTCACCGTTGTCGGTTCGCTGGCACGGGACTCCATAGGTGCCACCGACATCCTTCTCAGATTGACACAATTTCCCTACTTGAGCGTTAAAGTCACCAGCTAGAACGACTATGTCTGAGCGTTTAGCCTTTCGCACCAAACTAGACAGCTTTTGGTAGAACTCATCCTTCGTTTCATCTGAACTGCAGTCAGTGGGGGCGTAGGCGGAGATTACGAAAAGGCATCGGCGAGTAGTGCAGTCCTTTCTCCTTTTTACTGATCCGCTCAGACGGACAGCACACATTCGGCTATCTACCGAGCATTCTCCCATTAAATGATCACTCTGAATGAAAAATAAGGCACTAAAGCTTTGAGGTTTCAATGGCGAGGGTGACGTTTTTTAAGGAGTGAGATTGCTGCCTTACACCTGACCTTCCCTATTTTCCGGGATACTAATGAAGGAGGCAAGGTTTAAGAGTGTGTCAACCGGTAATAGAACTCAAACCATTGAACCGCCAACACGTCAATATACATAACCATTAGTATCAAATAGTCTATAGTATCTTAACTGTGATACTTATTTGTGACTATATATATCACATGAAGTCCAAAAGTAAAAATATCAAAAAAAAAAGATTTGCGTGATACACATTATTGAACCAATCAAATTATCCGTTAAAAGAAAAAATGACAAAAGAAAAGAAAATTAACTTACATATTGCATCAATAAATTAAGATAAACTGTCTCCTCCCAATCGATATTGCCGTCTATCCCTTTCGGAAGATTTGGACTATTCTTACGAAATACACTCAACTCTGGCTGAATTCGCATTTCCATGTATTATAAAAATGAAAAAGGAGAAAACCACTTATCATTTTTTTTAAATATTAAGAATAGAGAAGTAGAATGATTGCATAAATTAATAATGATTTGAGGGGACAGCATGATTTACACACACCCACACACACACACATGAATCCAAAAGACTTTTGATTGAACCCAAATTATATACCACGGATTAGTTGAGATGAGCAATTGGATACCACTCATACACGTCAACTAGTAGGATTTGCTGGTCAGCCACTGTAGAGTAATCTAAACATCGGATGGTCGTTGCACTTTCTTGAGTCAGAGGTCACCAGTCGTTTACTCGGTTTAACTGAATTTAAACCACACCAGAATCCTGGCTAGCTACTTGGGTCAACTGACGAGAAACTGAGGCAAACGACCATCCCAGTGTTTAAATCACTTTAATGTGGCTAGCAGAAAGTACTATTTTTTATGTGAGGGGTATCCAACTACTCATACAGATTAATCAGTAGTATACATACACAACATTAGTTATATTTGGTTGAAATAATATTCGAAAAAAAGTCGAATATGAGTCTTCATTGTCTACCAGTCTTTATCGTAATGATATTATTCTCAAGTGATAAACATATCATTCTTTTTTTCCACAAAAATTAGTACAAAGTCGACTATGCTTCACCTACACATCATAAATCTACAACATTATTGACTTCGAGTAATTAACACCCACGCTTTTTTTAAAAAAAAAAATCGGTCCGACGCATTAAGTTGAATCTTAGTGTACAAGCTGAAAAAGAAAATTACAACTCTGACTTATGCGCCAAACAGTATGGATGCTGCATATTGTGTACTGATTATATTCAAATAAATGAATTACACCACAACAATAGTAAAATAAAAACAAAACAAAATAGAAAAAAAACGAGCCAATCCAGTTATTTACCTTCTTTTCATTTTGTTTCTGATGTTGAACATAGAATAAAAGATCATCGCCTGGTCCATCAACTGAATCTACTAGATATGAAGATAAAAATGTCTGACTGAATAAATCAGACCAGAAGGTGTTATTTGTCTTTACAAGGGAATCGTCAAAACCATGCTGTATGATACATTCTAATAAATGCAATGAAGAAATGTATAGAAACATAATTACTTTTAAATACAATAATAATACTAATAGTTATCAAGTATTAATTTGCATGGATTTAATTGGTTGTAGGTTCAATAGCGAAGACCTGGGAGTACTGGACAGTTGTTTCGTCCTAGTTTGAGGCTCTTCAACAGTACACACCCACTGGGGTTCGAACCCAACACCTTCAAGACATAAGGAGTACTCAAAGATCATTCGAGCACTGCGACCCAATTCAATGAACGTTCGTAACCAGTGCAGTTCAGCAAGTCAGGTAAGGGAACAGTTACTCGCCCATTACAAAAGGCTGCAAGGTTGTGCTATATATATACAGAGAATAAGAGTAGTTATGAGTAAGATTACTTTAACGAATTGGCTACCTTGGTAATGCCAGCCGATAACTGCTACCTTGTCGTGGTGGTAGGGCTTGAATACCGTAATGACCCAATATGCTAAACTGACTGGGACTCTGTGCCTGCAGGTCCTACCATGTCAGGAAGGTTGTTTGGATAGCGGTTAAACTAAAAGCAGTTACCATCGGGTACATGGGCTCCAGTATCCAATCTGATCAAATGGCGTATGAACCCATATGGGTCACCGGAAACCATGGGAATGCAGCTCCTGACGCTGCTCTGCTGCCTTGTGGATTAGACTCCAAGTCAAAGGCTCGGTAGGTGGTCCCTTAATAAAACCACCTGCTTCGGTCTGGGCGCCCGGGTAGTATCTCAGCCCTCACACAATGAATTGAATAAGGCAACAAACAATCAATGAAACTTATCGCGTGCTATTACACGTGTTGCAGTTTTCTTCTTTCATCCCTTCCCGATGATAGTTAACGAATACTGTTTGAACTGGTTAAGCATGACTGTTTCCCTTCCAGATGAAGTTCTTCATCCGTTCTCTACTTATATATATATATATATATTTTCTTCTTTCTTTTTTTCTTTTGATCTATGTTGTTTTATTATTACTGTGTGGCGCATCCTTCTTGGTGCCATATTGTACCAAGTTTTCATGCGTTTAAATATATAAATAAGACTACCTTGGTAATACAACTAGGTCAAGAGAATAATGATAATGCCGCGTTATCCTATCTCGTTTTTCTTATCTTTTACTTTCAGTCATAAGCCATAATCTAATGTAGTATATGATTCATCTGATTATTTTGGAGTCAGTCAGTTGAAAAGCAAAGTCGAAGCAAACCCAGTGAAGTAGATCTTTACACACAGAAAAAGGGGGAATTTAACTTTATTCGTTTAATTTAATTTTGTATTTTCCATCGTTTGATTATAGAGGACAGAAAAGTTTGTTCTCTGTTAACATGTCAGCGCCTAGTACAGACGCTTCGACGATGTCTAAGGCCTAACTTCCAGTGATTTGGTTAATGGTGACTGGCAGTGGTGTTTAGGATGTGAATTTCACGCTGTTTGGGAACCATCATCTGGATATACCTGCATTCCTAGTGAGTAATAGTATTCCCACTAAGACTTCACCTTAGCAGCCATCGTTCCAAACGCCAAATTATTATCCACTAGGCCACCTGTGCAGCGGGTATTACTTGTTATTATTATTATCCAGGTGCGAATCTCAAGTAAGATGAAATGTGCATGCTGGATTCTACTGCTGGTCACCAACTACCAAATAACCTTATTATTGCACACTATGGACAAACTGGTGGAAACAGGCCTACCGTGATACAAAATTACCTAAATAAGCCACTTATTTCAGATACAAAATTAGCTTGTAGTTTGTTTATACATTTTTATTATTATTACTTGGGTTTAAAGTGGAAATTAAGGCTTCAACAACACACCTCTACTCTGTTCTATTTTCTGCTGTCCTTTTTGTCTGGGCCCACGATTTCCCATAATCTCTCATCTCTCCGCCACACGATCTTCCCCTTGTCATCCTTACTTACACTAACGACCCACTCGTCACTTCATGGAAAATGTCGAGTAGTGGAAGGAAGAAGTATATGTCTCATAACAGTACTTCTAAATAACAACCATTCTCCACACTGTCAAAAGTAGTATAAAGATGGTAGATCAAATGAATTCATTGCTCAGGTTACACCCGAAAAATATATGCATATTATGCTTCTGTGTGATCCTTAAACTAAGTCAAATTATATATAAATATACGTAAGTACGTTTGGGCCCATATTCAGCAGAAGCACAGAATAGGTTATAAGTAATGCGCTTTAGCTTATTTATCTTTACATAACCACTGGCCTTTTTTATAATCATCGCTGTGATACCGTATTTCCATCTATTCTGTATTTTCATAACGCTATCGTACTAAAATGTTACAAACGTCTTTATTCCCCACGTAAATTGAATTTGTGGTTTAATTGACAGTAAAGATAACATCATAAGAAAACAAACAAAAGTAGTTAATTTACCAGTACGAAGTTCCCTCTGATGAATAATTAACTCAATAACAGAATGCAGAGAGGTGATATTACCGACATAAGTATCAAGTAAATTTTCTTCTTGTTTAACAATATCAACACTCGGTTTTTCTGTTTCACACATAGGCACAGGTAGTCCAACAACCTGAAGAATTGATTTACATTAAAAATAGATGGATTGAATCGATGCCATTACATACATGAAAAACACGAAATATCCTGTATCTAATGTCTGGATGGGGATTAACTGCGTCCAGATCGTGGAACGTTTCTTAAGTTTCCAGTTTCTTCTCTCAACAGACAAACGTATTTTCAAGAAATTAAAGATTGTTCAGGGTTTGAAACGGTAAAGGTGAACACACGGACTTCGAAGACTGTCATTACATCTTATTGGCAGGCATAGATCAAATAACCTCACTAAAATTAATGATGCATGACAATCTTAAAATTGTCTGCGTATTTTACCGTTTTCGAACTTTTACTTATTTTGATATTCGTCTACCTTTATTTGACTCTCTTTTAGTGCTATGCTTTGAATTTGTAAAAAGCTACGTATTGATCTGTCCGGCAGCTGCCATACGAGAACAAGTTCCATGGCATTCGGATGCATACGGCTTCAAATTGATGAAATCACACTGCCTGTTTTGTTTTGCTACTGTTATGACGAAGAAAGAAGCTATTGTTGAAGGTCTCTAGATTTATTTCAAACCTGAGAGTAGCTTCAATCCAAAGATGATATGTGTCAGCAATAAAAATCGCGTGAGATGTCCAGTCAAACCACAATAAATAGCAGCACCGTATTACACTGGAAAACAGGTTTGTTTGACCATTACAAAGAATTTTGGAACTGAAGAGTTCTACACCTATTTCTAAACATTCTCATGGATTTTCGGGATCGATGAGTCGACATGTCACCCAAGAAGGTGTCTTATTTGTAAATAATCAAAACTTCTGTACTATATACGTTGCATCTTATTGGCATCAGTTCTGTACCAAGTATTCGATTGATTTGAGAAAAATAAAAGTGTAGACAGATTGACAAATGATTGATGCACTAAAATAGTGAATTATGGCTGGACAATATGTTATACATAATAATTAGTTGAATGCATCTTATTTGGGACTGTCATACTCCCAGGGGATACAGAACTGCCATATGTTAGAGGACAAAAGGACTTAGGAATTATTGTAAGGCACGACTTTAAAACAACGGCAAATTGTAATGGAGATGCCGCTAAGGATTTTCGAATGATATAGGCACTTCGAAGGTCTTTCAAACGACTAGAAGACGGTATGTTCCAACTACTTTATGCAACATATGTCAGACCTCATCTAGAGTACTGCATACAAGCGGCAAGTCCATGCTTCAAAAAGGAGGCACATATCCTGGAAAGAGCAAACAGGGTAGGAACCAAATCAGTTAGTGGGACCTCACATCTTCCTTATGATAAACGGATGGAGCATTTAAATCTCTTCCCATCATCGTACCGAAGGAGAGAGAACTTAATTTTGGCATATCGTATATTAAAGGGCGAATAAGAGATTAACCCTTTAAACCTTTCCTCTTCCTCTAGGATACATTTACCAAGTAACCACTAGAAGGTGTTCAAACCTTTGTCGAACAAAATACGTGTGGAATTTAGTTTCTCTCACAGAGTGATCAACGACTGGAACTCCTTACCTGATTCAGTAGTAACAGATCCATAGGTGAACGCTTTCAACGAGAAACTAGATCTCTGCAGAGATACATATCACAAGGATTAACATACACAATAACAGCCTTTTATCCTTCACAAGTAGGAACAAAAGCCAGTAGGCATTCAAGGAATTTTCACTATTTTGTTTCTATCTAAGTGATCCTTTATATTCGAACTAAAGGGAATAAACAACCAGAAAAATGGGACCAGAAGAAAAAATACGTTGAGCTGTTCATGGTTTGGACTGTATTAGTTACGATAAAAAGTGATGACCACAATATTATTCGAGCATGCTCGAATATATATATATATATATATATATATGCCTGTATGCATATACGCTGAGAGTTTGCAATATAGTAAGGCTCCGAAACGAAAATCCTGGTGAAATTTAAGGGCAAGTAAACCTAATCATTCTGAAGAATATTAGCATTTCCCCCAATGACCAAAATTTTCTGGAACAGTAGTGCAGTAAATAGTACGTTACTGACTTATATACATTTCCATGGCGAGTACTAAAAGGCACAAACCATGAACATTTCACACTGAATATGTGCTCATGTTGTTGCTTTTCCAACATTGCTTCTTCATGATATTTACCCCAAAAAAGCAAATATATATATGCTCATAAGCACACATAATAATTATTTACTTCGTTATTACATGATAATTACAAAGCTAAACAGACACAAAAATTGTAAAATTATTTGTCATCAATCACTTACAATTTTCTACTAGATCCAGGTCAAACTATATTCTAGTTCTAGATGTATTAAACTCTTTACATGTTTGGCTAGGTGTAACGGAACGTTCAAATATGTTGCAGGCGTAGGTTTGGTATTCATTGTTCATTCTCCAGACTTAATTGATGTCTTCGAGCTCCCTTCAGAGTTGCGAGGGCAAGGTTCCTAAATTTTTGGGGACTTTTCCGTAGTTATTCAGCTACCGTGGCTTTATTCGACCCCGTGGTAAGTAGAATGGAAGTTGGTTCTATGTGATTTGTTGTATGTTAGGTTATGCCACTAGTGCTTTCGCGTTAGTCATTTAGCGTGGTAACAAAGTGAAGCAATAATACTATTAACAGTAATGATATAACTGGTGGGGAATACTTAAACCTGCACTGAAGAACAAATGTCGGTGGCACAGCGGTTAGGACTCTCGCCGATCATGCACATGGTCCGGGGTTTACAGCCCATGCCGACGCACACCTGATATCTATGGTCGGCCTGCGAAATTCGGGCTACCGATGTCGCATGCTGAAAATTTCATACTCGTACTTAAATTACGGTGTGGGATCAATCTATAATAAAAAAATAAAAAATATATTTATGAAAAAGTGGATGAATGAAAAGGTAGGGTAATCACAATAATGAGACGAAGAAGACTGAGCAAACATTAAATAGGAATATATTTAAGACCTATGAATTAATTCCGTTATGTATGGGTTAATTTTCAGTAAGTTTAGGGGTAAAGTCAATTGAAACATAGTCCTTGAGCTGATGGAGTTTTAATCTAGGCCCCACCCAAGGACCTTCGCCAAATATGCAGTATTCAAGTGTTGGTTTGTAGAGATTTAATTGGTTTCAGGATTTCATCATGAGCTGACAGTAGTTAGAGAACCATTGGAAAACCTGGGAGTACTGGAAAGGTGTCTCGTCCTAGTTTGGGACTCTTCATCAGTACGCACCCACCGGGATTCGAACCCAGGACCTTCCGGTTACAAGGCGAGCTCGTATACCATTAAGCCATAGTAGTTGATGAAGAGTTTCAGCAGCGCAGAGCTCTCAGAGGAAACAGACAGAGCAGCACTGTAGTCTTCGTAATCCTATGTACGATTCATCGTGAGGGCGAGGTAGAATTAGGCATGTATGACTAAATGACATGGCAACTACTTTTATGTGATCCTGGTTATTTAATATCCTCGCCCAGCAACATATCAAACACACACTGTCTGTTGCAAGCATGAAAAGACATCTTCCGCAGCCTTTCGTGATGTGCTTATATCCGAAGGATCATAACCTCTTTTAACGCTATTCTTTGAAATCTTTATAAAAACCGAAATCCGTTTTCAGTAATTGAAGGGCAATGATACTGCTGAAACTCAAGGTGCAATGAATCATTCGTTTCACACACTTTTAAAGATTGCAGACACACTCACTCTTTGTAATCTGTTAGACCTATTAAACCCTCAATTTTTTCCACGTTACTCTTCGTTCTTCACATACTCTGCTCATAATAGTTCTTCTGAATTTCTACTTTCTTTCCTCTCCCTAACTTTTTACTACATGGAGTGTGGAGGCCGTATCAGTCGCACTGCTGTGTAAATTTCGGAGTTAAAACTCGGTCGCTCATCCAGTTTCGGTCTGTCTTCGACCTCTCCGAATCTTCAAAACATATGCTGTCAATGTAGTTGAAGATTGAACGATCAATTCATGGTTGTTTGCTCAAATCCAACTCTATATTTTCGCGGGAGTCATCAATGGTACAGTCATCGTCTCATCGTTCGGTGTTCTTTGGAAGAGAGAAAAACTATCAGAAGTGTTATTGTGATTTATTGTTATGACATTTATTCTTAGACATGTATTGTTGCAAGAATAAACGGTTCTTGAGTCACCAATTTGGGTTCTGGTTTTCTTGCGTTGGTTATTACGCGTATTTCCTGAAAGTCTTCCAAAGACATTATGAAGTCCAGTATAGTTAGACCTGGACGTTGACATATGCCATACTTCCTATCTTCACGTCATAAGCGTGAGGTTGAACTAGGCACTTCGAAAGACATCGCAGGTGATTAATAAACATCCAAAATACCATGTGCCATAGAGACCCTAGAACCTCGTGCAATTTCGAATGCTAATTTATGCCAAGATGACTGAACACTACTGACTTCGGTTCAGAATTCCTTTTCTTCAAAGTGTCCCCTCAAGCTTGGGAGAAGCAGATCTTCTATACCTTTCCGGCCTCCTCTGTGAAGAAAAACGTCATGCTAAATAGTAGCTGATGCCTTTTGAGAATCACACAAATTTAAATGAAGTGGAACGTACCCCAGTATGAAGTCTAGTCTTCCACGCTAAGAGCATCTTTTTTTCTGGCACCTATCCCTTTGGAATCATCCTGTGGTTTAAGTAGTGCATTACTACAATCATGGAGATGACTGATATAGTTTGCTTTCCACCCGGAGCTAGTGCTGCTGGTCTGCAGTCCACTGTGTTTTGCCGATAGCCACTCTTCAAATTAGGAGAGAATGTAGCTCCCCTCCCCCTTTGTCAGTTTCTCTGAGACGTTTTGGTGATAGAACCGGTCATTTAAAAGCCTGTAGAGAGCTGCTGCTCACTGCTCTAGAATCGACAGTCTAATATCATGGCAACGTAGGGGTTTCCTTGGTATATTTCTACGAAGCCAGTTGGTCAGATTACTTGGATTATTTTGAACTTGTTTCCAGTTGGCTTCCGCTAGGTAAAAGGCCCACGGTTCCTACCGATCCAGATAGACCTGTGTTTCAGGCCAAACTACGTGGCAACTCTTTAACCTGACTCACTTGAACCGGTGGCAAGGCTTCTCTTAACACCATCCCAGCTAGCAAAAGGAGAACACAACATTTTTGGCTGCTGAAAGGTGAATTTATTCACGAGGATTTGCGGAGTATTCAACTAGATAATCTCACCACAACGAAGCTCCTTAGATCCTTTTCCTTGAAAGTTGTATTGACCACCATTTCTTTCAGAGCGCGCGGATAAACAAATTGATCTTCATGGTCAATTTATACCAGGCTTTTCGTCTGTCTTGTTGAGAGAGCTGAGTACTTTTCATTTAACCATGAGAAATTTCTCCCTGGTTTTAATGTGAATAAGCCATCTTACGATTTCGCAACGTTCAGCCCAGTCTATGGATCGTGTTGAGCTTAAAAAACCCTTTCCTATTCTAGTGCAGTCAGCTCCGCTGTACAGCGAAATGATCTCGCAGCAACCCACTGTAATCATTAGAAAAGAACTAAACCAGACGCTACGACGGCAAAGTGGCTACTGCCTAGAAGGTCTGTTATCTGAAAGTCTTCCACTAGTAAGTAGTCGTTACTTTAGATGTAATACAGTTCTGAAGGATTTCCACCAGTGATGCACCAAGTGTTGTCTCCTACGTTCCAGGTGAACCTGGCCCTTCTGTTTGAATGCCACTCAGCATATGCAAGCCCAGGTTAAGGGCTCGGAATTAACGTCCCCCTATAATGATTTGATCGTTACCACCGTACCGTATTTCTGTGGTGATGCCATGCAGTTTTTGTTTGTGCCCTACTGTATTTGAGGGTCGTCGATAAATGCGCCTAATAAATCCATTCTGTGATCTACTGACGCTATATTGGCTCTGGGAGCTCAGTAGGTCTTCTGATGGTATGCATCTTAGGTGATTGTGGTGTATTTAGCGTTTCTGCTTTTCCCATCATTATGCTTATCCCATCTAAACAGAACCACATTCATTCATTCTGACCTCATCAGCGGTAGTAACTGGGTTCATCCAGGTTTAATCGTTATTATTATTCTGAGAACAAGACGGAATCGTGTATTTCTGAGCACATTTGTTTTGCCCCTCATCCCCCTCACATTGTTCCACAGACTCCTGTTAGTGGTTTTCACCACCTTAATTTGCAACGGAGTGGTCGGTGTGGAGTAGTTCTAAGGGTGACGAGTGAATACTCGAACAAGTTGACGGATTCCTGATGAATGGGCTTGCCACCACTTTTTCTTCACTTTATACTTGGACACTTCGGTGGACTTGATTGTCGCCTTCTTCCCCACTACACCTTTGTAGAGTGACTGAGACTTGGGGATGTTTTCTTAGAGCCCAGAGTCACTTTTCACGGCAGTATATTTCCCAGCTGAGCTCAATCTAACATCTCGTAATAATGCTGGAACACCGTAGCCAATTGCTCTGAAGACCCGAATTTTACAGCGAGCAACTGTGTGGATTTGAGTGTTATGAGGCGAGTAGGAAAAGGGAACCCACACATAACGATTGTCCTAGAAGCACTAAGTTTTCTGAGGGAACAGTTGTTTCTACTGCTGAATACTGTGCATATGTTTCTCGCAGGCATTGTTTATTCGCAGGTCCGAGACGTCGCGTACGAACAATGAAGTGCAGGGTGGTAGTTACTGTGACTGTCATGCTATTCGCCTAACTGCCCATGGCATTGAAAAGTAAAGAATATTCTGAAAGTCTTTGGCAGAACTCACTGTTGCTTTTAAAGTAGGTGGTTTACATTGTGGTACGTGGGCACCCTTGCTCAGTGTGATGCTAATCAGATAGTCCCTTTTGTTCCAGAAGGCTACTAGTATGCACCAGCACACTGGACAAAACAAGACATTTGAACCACCTACACTCAGGCTTAAGTCCAGTCCCTACTTGCTTTTCTCCCTTCCACGACATATGAGCCTAGCCTGCTTCAGGGCTTTATTATTCTGTGACATACAATATGGACCATGTTTGCTAGTGGATTTACCTGATCTTCCTGAAATGTGATAGCTACCTGCTGCTGGTACCATGATGTTTGTGGAGTTTATAGAGGTAAATCGAATAGAATGATGTATTTATGGTCAACTTTACTTCCAATAGTCATATCACGAAGACCGTAATGAGCGACACTCAGAAGTACTAATTTTTCAGCCTTAATAAATAAATCTCTTCCAGTGAATGTGTTTGCAATGATTTTTCTTTGATGTTGGTGCCAGTCTGTACGTGTATACGTTAAAACTAGTCTTGGAAGTTGGAATGTGCACCACAGGCCGTTAGACTGGTGGATATATATATATATATATACTCGCGAAATATATTCCAAATATGAACTTAGTGATTTTCT